ATCTGTACCACTAATATTTAGGCAGGGGGGGGGGGGTATAACGGCGAGTGGATGACCTATACATATATATAATAGATTTCAGATAAATCATGTTTGGCACGTGGAACGGCGGTGGCGGTGGCGGTAATGTGCAGGCGGGGAAGCAGGGTGTCGGACTTCTGGGGAAAAGGGTTTACAATCGGCCGAACATTATAATAAATTTCGGGTTTTAATAAATGCGAGAGAGAGGTGGTGTGGCGTGAAAGTTATTGGAAGGAGACCAAGAATGGCGCCATATTTTACTAAAGAACGTCAATCGCAGGTGTCGGAGAGCGGAGGGGTATATGCGCGTGTAACAGACGTGCTGGCTTCAATTTGCCTTATATAATAATATTTTGCTTTTTTTTATTATTATTTTTTTTTCCTTATTACAAAACTTGACACTTAATTTTCGTTCGCAGCACTGGTTTTACAACTTACACTCACTTAATATCTCGAATTGTATATGTATACCGCGTGTTCCTGCGAGCTGCAGCAGCTATTCCGCGTTTTTATGCAATTGACGGCAACGGCGGCTCGACTAAAGTATAATATTATTTTATAAAATGTACAATAATTTCCGGTGCGTGTACGTGAATGGCTAGTGTGTTTCTATATACTTTTAAACGGCACGTTTTTCGGAATGAAATTTAAAGAATTATGCGAAATCGTTTAACACTACAATAATCATAATATTATATTTTACTCGCCATCGCCAGCTATAATAAATCCTACGGTTTCATTAATATTAATATGTAATCATCGTTGCAGTTCGCACTCTGTGTACAATGGCATAGAGGGAATGGAAACGCGATAAAAAATAAAAATTAAAAACGTCAGTTTACGCATTGTAAGTAAATAATATATTAAATCATTTCTTTTTATTTTGCATTTCTTTATTATAGAAAATATTCAATTCAAAAACCACATTGGTTCTTTACTATATTTATACTTATACAGCCATATGAACCACTCTTTTTTATTGTGAATTGTGAAGGACAAAGGAGATGTTTTTTTTAATATTCAAAACGCATGATTTTGCAAAACATTTTTTTGATTACCGTTTTGAAGTCCACATAAATTCAAACACATTTTTAATTTAAGTATCAATCAGTAAGTCAAGTAAACGTTAGCATAAATTGGTTATTTATAAGTTCAGCTATTTTGACCCCAAATAAGTATAATATTAATAAGCACAAATTTTGAAAACATATAACTTACGTTGATCATTGGAAAAACTTGAATGAAAAGTGTTGAATAACTAATTTCATGAATATCAAAAACAGTCCTAAAATCATGCTGAATATTTGGTAAAAAAATAAAGGATGTTAAAGATTTAATATGGCGTTGTTGGGATGTTTTATGTATAAACTGATGAATAGTACTATACTTATGTATAGGCTGATGAAATGTGTTTCTGGACCGATCATGTATATTTGATTTTGCAAAGAAAAGAGTGAAGTACAAGTTTCGTGATAGGCCGTGCAAATGCATGCTTAATACTTGCTAATGAATGACATAAATTACTCATGGATTTTACATTAGGAGGAGGGGGGATCAAACGTCCATGATTTCTAATCGAACAATTTTTGTTATTTTGTAATTCAAAAAAATATTAATCTGAGAATTTGAAAAATTGAAGAAAAAAAAGCGTTTTCTTTACATAACTATTTCTTTCAAAAATGTATTCAAATTTTAAGCCACGAACCTATTCACACCGTTCTACCGTATGACTGTTGACTGTTATAATATTGTGTGAGTAACATTATAACAATAATACATATTACATGATGTTTTTGGTAAAGATCTGTTCAGTCTTACCGTATTAATAATATAAAAATAAATTACTATTGTAGTAAGTTATATGAATAAATTTTGAAATATCCTTAGAAATAGAATAAGCTAACACACCGGCTCTGTTGGGAACCGTTTTTCGCAAAAATAAATCATTGAATTCAAATTCAACACGTCCATTAGAATGTAATTTACAGTGACTTCCCGATGACTATGTAAACTCGAAACTAACTGTACAGCAGTGTGACATCCCTGGTTTTTCCAATTGATTTCACAACATTTAATTTTGTTATATATTTTTTTAATTAGTTTAAGTTAAAATTCAATTCAGAGAAGTATTAAAACATTTAAAACACATTTAAATTTAAACTAGTTAGACTTCATTTAAACTCACTATGTGAGAGTACCAAATTTCCGGTTTCTAAACGTATTTTAATATAAAACAATAAACTACAATTCCAAATATAATTCAAAAAGAATTTGGTAATCATTATATTATAATATGGCAGTATTTTTTGGATACTATGAATATAAATTAAATACTTATACAATAAATATTAATTTTAATATCAACAATTGTAATTAAACATCTTAATACAATCGTAACTATGTAAAGTAACTATCAACAAATAAAATATTATCCAAATATCAACAAACGTAAGTCGTAACTATGTACTGGTAACTTTTAACGAATGGACGGGCATAAAAGGGATATAAACTGGTGTATTAAACTTATGTTTAATGTTTACTATAATATTTCAACCAGCGGGACTTAAAATTGATTTCAAAATACATTTTTAAATATCGATAAAAACCGATAAAAATCGGTAAAAACTCATTTAAAAAATCAAAATCAAACATTAGATTCACTAAATTCACTTTCTTGCCAGAAAAGAAACTGTTGAAAAAAGTTGAAGCATTTTTACTGTCCGAAAATGTGATGACACTATAAAAATAAACATCTCTGTAAAATCAATACATTCATCGTTCCGCTCAGAATCTAAAATGTAAAATAGATGTTTCAATTCAAAAAAAGATTGATGTTCAACACCAAATAATAATACAATTAAATCGATATCGTGCAACAATATGAAAATCATAACATTTTAAAATCAATGTATTATTTTTAATTTTAACCATAAAAAACAAATATCGATAAGAGAAATCTTTCATTTTGAAAACGTCTTTTGAAAAAGATTTAAACAATAATTGAACAAAGTATGAAATATGTATAAATAAAATATTATTATATATAATGTGAATATTTTAATAAATATATTTTTCATCTTCTGAAATTGTACAAGTATGATTAAAATGCTTAAAAAAGATTTGATTTTACATAAAATAATAATACCTATAACAGCTAACCATATCCTTATTGAGTTTAGGAAAAAAAGCAAGTGAAAAAAAGCATATTGGAAAAAAAAGCGAAAACCAATTATTATTATTATAGGTATAAATTATTACAAATAGTTTGTTAAAAAAAAAAATCAAATAAAAATAATTCATTAATTAAATATATTATTTATATTATATTATTATAATAAGTCATAAGTGTAGGTATTACATGTTAAGTGCATCAACATGATAGTGCTATCTGAATCTATCTCTAATCTAATTTTTTTAATCAGTGTCCAAATAGACTGCAGTGGTTCTCAACCTTTTTTGGTCCACGGCACACTATTATACATCACAAGTTTTCACGGTACACTCACGCACTTGATAACCACAACATCTTTGGCAACTTCGCCGAAGACATTAGTTATCGCCACACGCCTAAATATGTATGACATTTCTCGCGGCACATCTAGTAGATCTCGGGGCACAGTAGTGTACCGTGGCACACCGGTTGAGAACCCAGAGAACCACTGAAATAGAAGGATGATTATAGCCTAACGAGTTTAGAAAATCGATGATTAAATCCTTCTGTTTGATTATTAGTACGATCTGCATTTTTAATAGTTGTTTCGTGTACATTCCACGTAACAGGTGGGAAGATTGGGTGAATATATCGAAATTTAATTTTTTTACCTGGCCGTGAAATTCCAATTGGTCTATTTATTCCCGAAATATAAGTTTGATCAAAATAATTCACTAGTATGCTATAGCAATAGGTTATAATCCTAAAATTGATACTTTAGTAGTAATTTTTGTTATTATGAAAAAATTTATACCTATAATAATAATAATTGGTTTTCGCTTTTTTTTCCATATGCTTTTTTTTCACTTGCTTTTTTTCCTTTGCTTTTTATTCACTTGCTTTTTTTTCCTAACCCCATCCTTATTAGTGTGAGTATACTGAATTAACATAATTTCCCAAAAGGTATTAAATTAATTCTAATTAAAAATGAGATTGGCAAAATGTATTTATAAAAATTATATATATATAATATATGTACTACAATCGACGATAATATAACCTATAACACTTAGCATATTACATACGTGAATATAATTTTTTATCCCCATTTGTATATTCGGACCTTTTCAAAAAGCCCATGACCATCAATGCATTATTCAAGTACTATAAACCTCTTTATTTAACAGTTCAGGTTCAATATTTAATAGCCTATGAATTTATCGGTTTAAATAAAATCCAATGTTAAAAACGAGAAATTAAGTACTCTACCATAAGTATTGCAAGATGTACACAATAATGAGTACAATTTATGCACTCTACAAGTATATTTATATCAGTAGATTAAATGATTTACGATTTTTATATGCAAAACTATATTTATAATATACTGGGTGTTTCACCGAGCATGCTCAACGCTCTATTTTTTTATAACAGGTGATACAGTTATTCGAAATCTAATTTTTTGAAACTGTAAGTATAGCTACACACTTAAAGACATTTTTTTCTAATTCTATGCTTATTCAAATAAAAAACAATTATAGGTACACGTCTCATGATTTCGAGAGCAGGGCTTGACGACTGCCGATTTTACCAATAGATGATTAGGTAAGCAGATGTCGAAGTTTTAGTCTAAAGCTTTACTACAAGTGCTGTAGAATACATATCTAACCTATATATTATATTTTAACATACATAATATGTAGGTACTACAGCTGTGCACACCATAACCTTAAAATTGTTTTTATATCCTCTCTGTATAAGACTTACAATACTAACAATACTGCGGGGGTAGTAACAAAACGTAAGATAAACTTAAAAGTGTACTTACGAATGTGAATTCTGAATGCGGATTCCTGGTTGTTGTTGTTATTTATAGCCGGATCGTCTGTGAGAATACCGGAATCCCGTTCAATCGCTTCTTCCTTTATCATTTTTGTTTCCATTGACTGAAACAATATTGTATAATAATATACGGATTATGTAATAACACGGATTTTCAGTAAATTAATAATTATTATCACATAAACATTTTTTTTTTGTTGATCATTGAGTTGTAAAACGCGTTACAGATAGAGAAATATGGTCAAGTCGAGTAACCTCCATCAAAAAAAGGTTTAAAACCGTCCGAATAGAATTTTTTTTTTCTTATTATTATTCTTTATTGACGAAAAAACTCAATTTACAAAATAATCTGTGTATAAATCATCGTGTAGTATAAAAATTACATTGAATTAAAAAAAAAGCTATAGCAATACATTCAATCATTTATTACATGCAAATATATGCAAATCGTAATATAAATTTATAACCATAATTTATAATAACTAAAATTTACTTCCGTAGTTTTTCCTGTGGTCATCACTCAACAGTATAATATTAGTTGCCAGTCGGTGATGATCGTAAATAATTCTTAGAAATATTATTTATTAAAAAACAGTTTTGATTTCTTATTTTTTCGAACATTTAATTGTTCCAACATATTAAGACAATCTAATCCAAATATAACACAATATAATCTGAACGAAATAACCTATATGACATGTAGAAATGAATTACCTATGTAAATGAATACGAACTGTATGAATACAAATATACAATGGACCACAGACCACAAGTAACTGATATGCTATACCGACACCACTACTTGATTAGCTTATAAGCTTGTACTTACATATAATTTCATATTAAATACACATAATGTACACAATAACATACATTTTAAGAATTTAAATCACATTAATAAAATAATTATTTAATTTTTGTGGTTGACAAAAAATCACAAATTCAGAATATTTTATTTTTTTGAGAATTATTAATAAACTTTTTTCTGAATCCAATTTATTATTTATTCTACTTGATTTAATTGTAGATAAAATACTAAAAGTTCTATATTATAATACTATATAATTAATAAATAATAATACAATGTAAAAATTATACTATTATTTAATGTTTTATGTATTAGATAAAAGACTTTAATATTTATCAAATGAACATTTTTCACAGGAAATCGTGAATATTATTATAATGTCAAATTTAACATTGGAAAGTAGATACAAAATAACTGTATGTACTATTTATTGTTTAAAATATACGTCTGATAAACGATCAAAGCATACTGATATCGAGACTGCAATATGATATTTCAATAATCAGATGAACATTTATTATTTATTTTACTTAAAATAATCGCAGGTGAAATACGAAGTTCTATGTAAAATAGTAAATAATTAATAAATATTATAATTTATTTATGCTATTATTTAATATTTTAAATAATATATTGGAAGAGACTTTAATATTTATCAAATGAACATTTTTAATAAAAAAAACGAGAATATTATTATAATGTCAAATGGAACATTGGAAAAAAATAACGAATAAAATAACTTTATAGAGGTATACTAGGTATATAATATTATGCTGTATACATTGTATAATATGTAGGTACGTCTGTTAAACGATCAAAGCATACTATTATCGAGACTGCAACACGATATTTCAATCATATGAAAATCCAATTAACGTTCACCTGCAGTAAAGCGTGTCAACCTCAGATAAAATATATTTTTAAAAAAAAATGTTATTATATTACAATTCAACTGATGGTAGGAATAGTAGGTATATGCTATATGTATAATGTGTGGACCTACTGGACCTATATATATATGTATATAATACTGTATTACCATACTACATACATAATATATACGCACACATATATCTATGTTTAAACAATATCGATTACTCCATCAAAACCAGTAATAAATAAATTTGAATAAACGTGATGACATTTCAAACTATTTTTTAATAATAATAATAATAATAATAATATAGTAAAACCTATTTTATTATGAGCTCGTGTGTTTGAATGATAATTTTATTTCGGTGTTGATTGGTTTTTCCTATAATAAACTATACGAGCTGCAACAGCGGTGTTAAAAGTATCCGAGTACTGAGTAGTTTGTCGAAAAGTGTATTAATTTGATAGTCTTATTAGTTATTCGTTCATGAACATTACAAATATATGTCTAGAATTTCCGGAATTCCAAAACATACGGAATACCTTACCGATATCTAGAAGAAGTACTCGACGAAGACAGCAGCTTAAAAATCCTAGTTTTTCTAACTGAAGTCAGTAATGTAAAAAACTTTTGACTATAATTTTAATCTGTAGTTATAAATGTAAAAACTTTTATATTTCATATTTTGATTTAAAGTAATGTACCCAATATAATACCCTCTGTTGCTGAAGCTTAAAAATAAAAAAAATATGTCTACAATATGATTACATTAATTATCAATGCTTTATGATGTACTTAACGAGTTTTGATTTTGAAAATTCTTGGAAGAAATCATAAGTTAACGATTTTTGAAAAAATAACTATGTTAATGAAGGACCCTGGGTTATACAAACTATGCAGAAACTACTTAAGCTATATTGTTTAAAATACGTGAGAACTAAGAACTATTACGTCGTAAAAGATATTATAAAAAAACACCTGCAGAAAATAGTACATTTAGGTATACCTACAATATCTCATGAGTCACGACGCACTGTAACTCAAGTTTGAAATAATTTTATATTTCTAATAAAACGTTGAAAAAGGCTTAAGCAGAGAACTAAACTAATAAGAAGAATAAAAACACTATACATATATTCAGCTGGCCTAATAACCTCCCACTAAACAGAAGGGGAAAGGTAATCATGAACAGACTCGGCATCGGCCGACGGTCACACAAGTCTTACTCGTGGATACCTCATGACGAGAGAAGAATACTGACGTGCAATTATTGTGAAACTGAACTCTCAGTCAACCACCAAATCACCGAATGTACGACATTACATCGACAAAATCAGCAGTCTCAACATTCCAAACACCTGAGACGCATCACTCGGACCCGATGCAGACACCTCCACTACACAAATCTTAAAGTTTTTAAAATTAATCAAACTGCATAACCAGATATTCAACAAAAAATGAAATATAAATACAATGCAAATTGTAACTAATGGCTAATATTACCGATATTATGAACAACGAAGAAAAGAAATAAAAAAAGAAATGTCGAAAACAATAATTTCTTTACGGAGAAAATAGTACCTAAAATAATAAAAATAGTTTAAGTTATTTGTAGTTATTTTAGGAGTACTGGGTAAAGTTAATATTATAAGAGCGTGATACTAAAATTCAGCTTTAATAAAATAAAATCGTAAAATATAAAAATATCAGAAACTAAAGCATATATTATATTGTATATTTTTTAAACTCTTAGAGATGTTTGAAAAGTATAATAATGATTTTTCAACAATGTAAAATAAGTTGAAATTTAAACTTTGAAGGATTCGATTTTTTTTTTATATTTATAGTTTAGTTAGTTATTCATAACCAAGTAAAATGTAACCATAAAATACCAGTACTCAGTGAAATAAACATTATATTATTATAGTGACGATGTAGTGAACTTTTTTTATATACGAAAAAAAATCTTCTCAATTCTATATTATGTTGTATCTAGGTATGTAAAATAAAAAACAGGAAACACGGCCATGATTAATGTAGGTAGTTTTTATAGTTGTTACAACTTTGAAATCGCTTACTTAAAAATCGAATCGATATTTTCCAGTTAGGCGTCATTAGAGACGTTAAGTTCTTTGCAATATATTAATATGACCACACTAGATGGCCATATCTTATGTATATATTATAATATAGTGTGATATACAGGTAACTTAAAAATTATATAGATAAGATTACAGATAATTTCACAGTTACTAGGTTTTTGCAGACTTTATATATTAAATTATAATTAGACTTAAGATTATTTATTATAATATACAAAAAATACAATATAGATTAATTTAATAAATTAGAATAAAAGTAGAAGAATGTTTAAATATATTGAACATTTTAAATTATCTGGATACTTAATTTTATCGTCCAACTAAATAACAACATAATTTGTTGTAATAAAAATATAATAATCAGTGACGATAATTGAATTAAAAAAAAAATATTTTAAAATTAATTTTGTTTGGCTTTAGTCATACCAACATTTCAAATAACGCATTCCGGTTGAAAGTTGTTAAAAGTTAACAATCATGATTTATTAATGTTACAAATTAATTTTGTTCTTCTAAACATGCATCTTGTTAGTTGCATGATACGTTTTTATGAATAGCAAAAAATAATAAATTATTTCAAACAAATCCATTTGTTAATATTTTATAAACATGATTTGTCAATACCACAAATGATAATTCATTCAGTGAGGCTTGTAACAGGGACGGAGGAATGAGGTTTTACATAAAAATATATAATATGAAAAAGCAATGAAAGTATATTCACCGCTTTATAATGTGATATAAAAATAGTCAAAAATCCATATCCCACCCCTTTCAAAAAGGCTGAGTAAGCTGTCGTGAAAATCGATTTAATTTCAAAAAAATGGCGTGACAGTAACAGTATTTTTCTAGATCGACGAAAAGGAGCCAAATTAAATTTTAAGGACATTTGGTATGCCCCATTGAAGTATCTGGGGTATAATAGTTACAGTCGCAAAAACTTGAAACGCATTGTCGTAGTTTCGAATACTGTTTTTTATTTCCTCTCGGAGTGCAAAGAATCATCGAACGTCTTAGCCATAGGTATACAGTAATAGTATATCTTTGGACTCACTGCGGCTAAAAAAAAAATCAAATGAAAAACCTCTCGGTAGTCTTGGAGTAGTCCACTATATACAATATACATAATATATATAATACATCTAACGCCCGCCTGTTGTGCAATCCGTCGAGGTACAATATATAAATATATATATACATATATTAATGTATTATGTATGTATATACATATAATATGTATATACATATATTAATGTATTATGTATGTATATACATATAATATGTATATTGTATATATATTATTATTATTATTATTATTAT